GCAGTCGGCCAGGGACTAGGTGGAACTCTCAAAGGGGTCTGTTTTCCAATCAGAGTCCAAGATCGATCAGGTCAGCAGAAGTCAGTCGCAGACGCTTACACAAAAGTGAGCAAACATTGGGTAGGAGTTCCAGCGTGGACAGCATCACCAGCAACGACAGTTCCAGGCGTTGTCGCAAAAGGTTTGAATTTTTTTCAGACTCTGGATATGAGGGAAATATCTGTTGAGTCCTTTTTGTTCCTAAATATAGGCACCATCACCATTCCAGTAGACATAACTCCGACAACGAAAGTGAGAAATCAACGCGATCCGGGGTCAGCAACAGACATCACCATTTTTATCAGAATAGAGCGAGTAGGAATGTGATGAGTGGAAAAGAGTCTGAGTCAGATTTCTCAGATCCGCAGGCTATCCAACGGAGGGCGAATCAGAACGTGGATGCTTTGTGAGTGTAATTATCTCTTGCTTCCGGGAAATTTCATCAGGGTCTCATGCTATCTTTATTTTTAATTTTCAGAAAGCATAAAACAGAGGATGAAGTCTGGAGGAGTGCCGAAAGTGGCCATGATGTGGAGCAGAGAATCCGGAGGACGCATCGGTGAGACGCTCCTCCAAAGAATCGCAGTATTGTACTCGAAAATAACATTTATTTTAAAAATATCGGCGTCTGATATTCCAATGGGTGTAACCGCTGCACAATGAAACGAATCGTAACATTCGATCGGAAAAAATACAGACCGTGAGGGTTAAGAAGCCGGCACTTGAAATAAAGTCACGAAATCAATTCGTGCGAAGTTTTCTCATCTTGAAATTACTGTATTTCAGTCCAGCTCCTCTGATTTAAATATCAAGTTAGACTTCTTTGTATTCCCTTATTTTGTCGTTTGTTCGTATTTTGTTTTTTTGCTTTTTTCCAATTTTTATGAATTCAATCGCCGAATTAGATTTCCTTGGGGAAACTCTCCCTGTTTAGTATATTCTTTGTGATCGCAATCCGCAGAAGGTCTCTATAACTGGCGTATTGCGCCATGAGCAACACCTAACCTAAATGTTTCTGACTGTGATTATATGTTCCTCGTAGTTCCAGATCAAGGAGTCCTGGGGCTGCTGCATCTCGAGCAAGAAACCAACTGTTACCAGAGCAGGTGAGACAACATATGGCCTTCAATCTAGTGGACCCAAGTGAGCACGGAATGTCCGTGGACCAGCTGAGGGACATCCCGTACACCAAGGTGGAAACAGATGGACGCCCTCTCAAGATCCATTACTCGCCTCAGGCCAAAAAGGTCTACGTGAAAAAAGGGGTGGGAACTCCGGCCTTTCCGTCCAAACGTCTTCAAGCGTGTAGAAGCTAGCTTCAAACGTGATTTTCACAAAATAAACAAGCAAGTCAGACCCTCACGGACTTTCCGAAGTCTTTCTGGTCTGAGGATCACTGAGGGGGGGAGGCGGGTATTCCATGCCTGCTGTGGTGGCGGCTGGACAGTCGCCAACTTTGGCTGATGTGGACCATGTTTCCAGCAGGTCTTCGTCTTTGAGGAGCAGCAGCACAGCACAGTATGTATTCAATGAAGGTGATTGTTTGATCAGGACTAATATAGTGAAGCTTTATTTGCAGGACTGCCATTTTGCGAACGCCGCAGCAGTTTCCAGATGTCGCTGGCCACGGGAGTTTGCAGAGAAGACCACGGATGGTTGATAGTCTCCCCGGGTCTTCTGCCACTCTGCCAAGAAATCTGAATGCTGTCAGGAATGTGCAGCAATTGCAACCAACGCCTGTTTATTGGAACCAGGTGGAGCCATTTACTCCTCCAAGACCTGCTTTCCCTGTGGATCCTCGGTATGTTAATTTGCCTTTCCTATAGTGGAGGGAATGGTATCACAGCAAGGGTTTTTGTTTGAATTGCAGGACCATGGGATATAGGACTTCAACTCCAGTCTTGAATCAAGGCCAGTGGGCTACACCAAGGCCAATGAAACCAATGACCCCTGTGAGACCGAACCCTGCGTTGCCGTACGAGTTGCCTTATCGGCAGTTTCAGCCTAACCCTGGGGACCCAGTAAGCCCCAACTACCAGAACCTTCCCCCACACCCGTATTTCCAGTATTATCCGAGATTTGGAGAAGTGCCTCATTATAGCCCTGTGTACACTCAACAAACCATGAGAAAGGATGTTGGTTACAGAGG